GATGCATCATTAATAGATGTCACAATATAACAAAATACCACTTTACATTTTCTTTCTTGTATAAGAAAACCCTAGAAAAGAAAACAGTATGCCCATCAGAATGGCCTTTTTGTGGAGAAAATACAAAAATGTTTAATATTCTTGAAAATGGGCACCTCCTGAAAGTAAAAGGGAGGCAGAGGTTAGGTAGAGGTTACATCTTCTTCGGGTGATGACTTCCTGCCCTTTGACCTGTGCTTCCTTGACTTCATTGCCTCCTTGCTCTGAAACAAGTTTTCATTTACAGCAAACTGTCACCATGCATTCCACTCGGTATCCAACTTCTAGACTCCCACTAGATGGGAATTGGCCCCTGGAAAATTGTGACAGGACAGGAACCCAGTGTATGAAACACACCTCAGCCAATTACAAGTGCCAGGTAGCTAGAATGCAAAAAAGAAACTGAGCTCTGCAGCAGATTTTGTAGATGTTTGGAAATCAGACAAAGGACACTTGTAGATCATTTACAGAAGCTGCATATCTGATGCCTTTCCAGTAGTAGAAGTGGAGAGTCATTAATGGTAGCTTATGGTTTCCTTAACATTGGATTCTGTAGCAACTTTGTCTCCACAAATCTGTTTGGAATGGGACAGAAAAGAAAATTCCTCCTTAAGAGTCTATGGAACTGGAAGGGACTCAGGTGTTGCTTGCATAATATCTTTGATTTATACATGGAAAAGCTGTGTTTCAGAGATAAGTGACACACTTGAGGTCACAGAGCTCATAAATTTCTGACAGGATTTAAATCCAGGCTGTCTGACTCCCCAGTTGCCACGCATAAAGACCATAAATATCCTGCTCACTCATGGGGGATGCTTTTAATGGAGGAGGCTTTACATGTACTGGGGGTGCACAAACAAATCTCAAATCTCTGTTCCTTTCCCTTCATTTTTATGGAAACCTAAAATTGATATTATTTATTTGATGCTATTTTATTTGTTATAATAAGGAATCATTGCAACACTGACATTTCTTCTCTTTTAAAACCTTTTTATTTTTAATTATGGTTGAGTTCACAAGGTGTTTATGATGTTATGATCTTCTTCTAGATCTTCTTAGGGTTCTTCTTGATCCCTTTCTGCCCTTTACTTCCTTGACTTCATTTCCTTACCTCCTTGTCCTGAAACACATCTACATCACCACCATCAAAGTGCCCAAAACACTTCACTAATGTCCCCCAGGTACTTTCAGTCACATCACGCCCCCTACATACACATGCAGTCCCACCCTTCTTTCCTAGTCTCAGTTCTGAACTCTAGAGTCAATAGTTTGTCATTATTTAAAATAACCTATTCCCTTTTTCTCTATATATGCCATAGATGAGTGATATCATCCATTGTTTTTCCTTATTCGCCTGACTTTACTTAACCTAATGTCTTTCACTTTCATTCACATTACAATAAACTTTGAGAGCTCATCTTTACTTACAGCTGCATAGTATTCCATGGTGCAAGGAATATATATATATATATATATATGTGTGTGTGTGTGTGTATGCAAACAATGTATTATTGTATTCATATATAATCACAACATCTTTACCCATTGATCTTTCATCGGACTTTTGAACTGTTTGCATAAATGACTAGTGTATTAAGCACTGTGATGGATACAGGTATGCATATTTAACCAAAAACTGCTTTTTAAAAAATGAAGTTTGATTTTTTTTGCCCCATGTGTATGAGTAGTGACAACAGAAAATTTACTTTGGGATAGCTTATGAACTTCTACATTTGGAATTTGTAGCAACTAGAGTCCTTCTTTCAACTAGCAGGGACTATTTCCTTTGAAACATGGCACTTCAGTGTTCATGTTATACAGCATTAATGATAGCTCTGAATGGCTTTCCTTGCCTTTTTCCTTGCCTTTTTCCTTGCCTTTTTCCTTGCCTTTTTCATTTCATATTTCCCTCCTCTTCCCATTTCTTTCTTTCAACACTTTTCCCCTAATTTCTTTGTTTACTCTTTTCTTCTTGTTCCCTTTATTCCTTCAGATAAATTCTTTAATAATAATAATAATAATAGCCAGAATTGACAAGAACTTACTAAGTACCACACTGTAGGCTCAGCATTTTATATTCATCATCTGATGTGCCTCCCAACTCTGTGATATAGATATAGCCCTCATCTCATCTTCATAGACAAATACCTGAAAGCAAGGAAATCAACAAGTTAGCCACAGGCACACACCAAGAAAGTGTTGGGGACCCCACTCTGATCAACATCATAATAGTCAGCAATTTTTTATTACTCATATTAGAGCCCAAAAAGGAGACACTGATGAGGCTAAAATAGACTGCTAGAAAGTGCTCAATATAGTTTTCACTAAGGGTTGGCCCCTCTGGAAAGTTCTTAGCCGCCATTTGATACTATAGCTGTCTGCCATCATGTTCATTTTCATCTGGAGATAGTTAATCATATTCATAGTTCAGAGGCTTAAGTGGTTTAAGAGATGGGAACAAAGAAAGTCCAGATTCCTAATAACACTACACAGCTGACTGTGGACGAGTGAAATCATAAATATATATCCTCACAAATTTATACACCACCAGTTGTCTGACAGTTTTAAAAGTACATGACAAATTACAGAAAACATCTGACTCAAAGATAATGACCTCTTTGAGTGTGTCTCTGAAACTCCTAGAGTTTTAAGGTAAAAGACCATTTCCAGTGTGTGAGAATATTAACTTTGAGTATATGAGGTACTTGAATGGTCTCTTCATGCTTTCAAATCACAAATTAAAGATCTCAATCTCTAAGTACTTGGGCTGGTTCGAACTGGATTAGGCAGCCATGGAGGTAGAAATATTAGGTAGACCTCATGGTGTCTCACTAATAAAAATTTAAAAAAAATATTAGGTAGAAATCTTAGGACTTCTTGAGACTCTAGACTTTGACAGTCCTAGTCCCATCCTGCATGTTTTAATGTGCTTCGAGTCAGTGAGGGCCCCCATGTTTGCCCACCAACTCTCCCCCGGTTCTCCAGTGATGACAAAACACTAGTAGCTTCTGGGACTCAGAAAAGTGATGGAAGCCTCCTTGCAGATACTAGAACATTTTCCTTCCCCCACTTACACTCATATGCATACAAACACATACACTATACTGACCTCAAAGATTTTCTAGAAAAATCTGGCTGAACTGCTTTTGGCACTAACTGAGAAATTTATTAATTAGCACGACAAAGGATTTGGCACTACAGAAAAATCAATAAATATTTGCAAAGATAGTGAATTATCAGCCCAGTGTTTCTAAATGTCTCTGTACAGTTCTCCTGCTGAGACCAAAGGAACAAGAGTCATCAGACTGTAATTACAGTTAATGCTCTCTTTCCACTGGCTAGGGTTGACTTATGTATTTCTTTAGAGTTATTACTGATAAGTTACGCCTGATTAAATCATACTGGCTTTCTGCAGCTTGACCTCTAGATGAACTTCTATATACCTTGGGGCTAATGTGTTTTATTCAACAAAGTCAACCTTTTCTCCCCCCCTTCTCTTTCTCCTCCAGCATCTATTCCCAGGTGTCTAATCCCCTTCTCTTGACTCTGGTCCTTGCGTTTCTTCCACAGAGTTAGTCATTTTCTCTAGGTAAATGTGAAAGTGATACTAGATTCCTCCAATGCATAAATCATGCTGTAGAATGTATTCTCACATCTCCACCTCATTCCTGTGGCTGCCAAGGATAAGCACTGGTAAAGATGGCACTGAGTACATAGTTTTAGTGTGCAGCAATTGGTAAGATGAAAGATGGGGATGGGTAATAGAAACAGGGAAAAATACTTATCAGCAAATATCACACTTGCAAACACAAAAAATAGTGTGTGTGTGTTGTGTGTGTGTGTGTAGTCTGTTACGTTTCTCTATTTGGGTATGGAAGTGGGTGGTAGAGAACACAATTATGCACACAAATATGCATTCACCAAATGCATACACATATATTACATAATTCTATATTTAATTGCTTAGCCATATACTCAATGCAGATGACAATATGACTTCTTGGCAAATAAATATATACTGTATGTCCAATGTGCAAGTTTTCTTGGATAACTTTAATTTTTTTTTGTTTTTTTGGGTCACACCCAGCGATGCACAGAGGTTACTCCTGGCTCTGCACTCAGGAATCACCCCTGGCAGTGCTCAGGGGACCATATGGAATGCTGGGAATCGAACCCGGGTTGGCCGCATGCAAGGCAAATACCCTACCCACTGTGCTATTGCTCCAGCCCCTGGATAACTTTAATTTTGAGTGAAATGTATAAACTTTGAAGTTCTTCTTGTCTTATAAAATTGGAATGGGGTTATAATTCCAAAATATGAGTTGGGAAAATAAGATATAGAGAAGCTAGAGAGAAGGTACAGATGCTAGAGTGCATGTTTTGGATATGCCAGGTCCCAGTTTCATTCCTGGCACGATATCCTTGCCTCAGTATCACTGGATAAAGCTCTGGAAGCTCCCACCCACTAATATCTATGTTTCCTGGGTAACTCTCCACCAAAGGGTCATAGCAGCTCCCATCCCCCAACACTCATGTTAAACAACCTGCCCAATTGGTAAGGAACCACACTTCTTGGGAAGTTTCCTTCCCCTGCACCTGAAGAAATACAGACATTACAAAAACTTCTAGATGATAACAAATTTCTTAAAACTAACATAGACATTTCTATTTGTTATATTACACTTATGTTTGTTTATTATTCTTAAGATACCATAGTTTTATGGGATTTTTCAACTAGATATGCCATTGTTACAAAGAATGTTTTGAACCAATGGATTACTTGCTCTCGACTTTGAATGAACCAAGCCATTAGAGAGCCCAATATGCAATTGTACCTAATGTTGGTGATTATCACCATTTTCTCAAAGACCTACTTTAAGGTCAGTGTATATTAGCTTGGTTAGAACAGTCTATATATATAACCTGCTATTTAGCTAATCTATGCTTATTTCTTCCCTTAGGGGAAAGCTATGTCTGTTCCTCAGATAACTTCTTTAAAAAGGTGGAGTACACCAAGAATGTCAATCCCAACTGGTCTGTTAATGTGAAGACATCTGCTAATATGAAAGCCCCCCAGTCCCTGGCAAGCAGCAACAGCGCCCAGGCCAGGGAGAACAAGGACTTTGTACGCCCCAAGCTGGTAACCATCATCCGTAGTGGGGTGAAGCCTCGGAAGGCTGTGCGTGTGCTTCTGAATAAGAAGACAGCCCATTCTTTTGAGCAAGTCCTCACTGATATCACTGAAGCCATCAAACTAGAGACCGGGGTTGTTAAAAAACTCTACACTCTGGATGGAAAACAGGTAAGTACTTTTTGTTTCAAATCATTCCTTTTCTCCTTTATTCTAAATCCTTGCATGACCATCTTATACTTCAGACATCCTTTCCAGGTTGTAGGATCTTCCTCCACATTTTACTATCACCACCTGAGAGTATTAGATGTCTCATTGGGCAGGAGATGGGGAGTTCTCAACAGACAAAATGATGGATCAGGAATCTGAGGCTTTGAAATTTGACCTACTTAAGTAGATAGGTCTCTTAGCTTCAGCTTCCAGAGCGGCTAAGAAATATTATAACCTAATTCCTTCATATTCATGTGAATTTAGCTATGACATGACGTTACCTTGTTTGTTAACGCATGTGACTGGAAATGAGATTTGTCTGCTCATTTCTTCATTGATACTCTCATGTCAGGCTTCATTCTCCATTCTTGTGAAAAAAAAAAAGTTGAAGTGACCTTAAGAACCTATGAAAGGAATAAGATGTATGTATGGAGTGGGGTGGGGGGGGCGCATTTTGGTGCTGTGCTTGCCTCATATGAGACCACCTTTCTCTTGCTCACTTTTCCCTGATATCGCTGTATTAATTTGGCTTCACTGATGGTTTGTGTGAGAAAGAGACTATTTCAGGATACTAAAATTAGACCAATAAGATGTTGCCATCTGCTTCCCTCCAAATCAGGTACTTTATGTCATTGGTTACGCTACTAAAGTGCCACCTATATTAATATCCGAGAAAGAATGTAGCCAGGCGTCTCCACCAGACAGATGCATCATTCTCTTAAGCATAGGGAGCTGTAAATATATGACCCAAAAATGTTCCAAGGGAATTGGAGCAGTGGCTGGTTCGGTTGGCTCTAAAGAAGGATCCTGGTCCCCCATTAGAAAAGATAAATGCGGATTATTATCAGTCCATACTTTATGCATCTTAAAATACCTTTGCTGTTTGAAAAACAGTGTAAATTCTAAAATTAAAAATTAAAAAGAGGGGGCCAGAGAGGTCGTACATAGAGTAGGGCACTTGCCTTATACACAACATACACCGGTTTGATCCTTAGCATCCCATATGATCCCACGAGCTTGCCAGGAATGATCCCTGAGCTCATAGCCAGGAGTAAGCCCTGAGCACAGACAGATTTGGGCCCCAAATATTTTTTAAAGATTAAAATACTTCAGAATGGCTGATGAGCACCCAAATGTAGGCCCATGGTGCCTGCTATGGTTTCTGACCTTTATACAACATTTTAAGTTTCTGGGATAACTCAACCCATATACTTGGATATGTTGGTAAATGTATGTCTTCTATCTTGTTTTAGCCATTTATATAGTTTCTTTGGGAAAATGTCTACTTATATCTTTGCCAATTAAAAACCGAGTGTCATATTAAGTTACGTTTTATATATTAGGGATACAAGCACTTTATCATATATGTGATTATAATTATTTTCTTTCAGTGGCAGATATCATCTGATATTTTAGAACCTATTGTAAGGTTTTAACAGAAGTTTTATTTTTTTATTTTATTTATTTTTTCTACTTTCTTTTTAAAAAAAGTTTTATTAGTGAGACACCATGAGGTACAGTTGTAGACTTACAAATTTTTGTGCTTGGGTTTCAGTTATACAATGATTAAATACCCATCCCTCCACCAGTGCCCATTTCCCACCACCACGGATCCCAGTATCCCTCCGACCCCCCATCCCCCTAATCCCACTCTGCCTCTGTGGCAGGGCATTCCCTTTTGTTCTCTCTCTCCTATTGGGTGTTGTTGTTAACAGCAGTTTTATTTTAATTCAGTACTGGTTTTTCTTCCTTGATCTTTACTTTTTATTGATATTTACTTTTTACTGATATTTATTTTTACTGATACTTACAGAGTTATTAATAAATGAGTTTTAGGCAAACACGTTTTCTTTTTTTAAAAAAAATTTTATTAGTGAAACACCATGAGGTACAGTTGTAGATTTACAATTTTTTGTGCTTGGGTTTTGATTATACAATGATCAAATACCCATCCCTCCACCAGTGCCCATTTTCTACCACCATGGATAATATCCCTCCCACCCCCATCCCCCCCATCCCACCCTGCCTCTGTGGCAGGGCATTCCCTTTTGTTATCTCTCTCCTTTTGGGTGGCAAACACGATTTCAACATCAATCCCATCACTGGTGTCAATTTTCTCCATAAATGTCCCCAGGGTCTCTCCCACTCTGCCCCACAGCCTGTCTCTTTAAAATATACTCTTTAAAATTCAGATTATTGTAGTAAGTTTGGGTCTTATCTTTTAGTATTCTCTCTCTCTCTCTCTCTCTCTCTCTCTCTCTATATATATATATATATATATATATATATATATATCACTGTTACTGTCCTCCCGTTGTTCATCTATTTGCTCGAGTGGGCTCAGTAATGTCTCCATTGTGACACTTGTTACTGTGTTTTGGCATATCGAATACATCATGGGTAGCTTTCCAGGCTTTGCCGTGTGGGCGAAATACTCTCGGTAGCTTGCCGGGATCTCCGAGAGGGGTGGAGGAATTGAACCTGGGTTGGTCAGGTCGGCTGCATGCAAGGCAAATGCCCTACCTGCTGTGCTATCGCTCATATATATATATATATATATATATATATATATATATATATATCACTTCTGTTGCACCTATGTGCCCTAGACTGCTTACCCCTGTCCCTACTACCTGCTATCTGCCTTTTCTTATCCCCCCATATGTTTCTTTCCTTCTGTGTCTTTCTCCTTTCTATAGCCTGGGGTCAAGATACTCTAGGTATATATACACTCTGATACCTTGCATTTGCCAATCCTGTTAATCAATATAACAGAAAGAAGTGAGATCATACGCTATTTATCCTTATTCTGATTTCACTTAACACGATGTACTACACTTATATCCAAGACACAGCAAATTGCATGATTTCATCATTCCTTTCATCTACATAGCATACCAGTGTGTCTACACACACCCCATATATATGTATATATTACCTTTATTATCATTTATTATCAAATATATGATCAGCTTATCTGTCTTTGGATACCTCGATTGATTCCATATCTTAGCAATTGTAGTAAGTGCTACAGTGAGCAATGTTATCTATATGTCCTTTCAAATGAATGATTTTGTGTCCAAGAAGTGGAATTGTTGGTTTATATGGCATCTCTATTCTTATTTTTCTGAGAAATCTCCACACAGTTTTTCTTGGGAGAATAAACCAGAAATATTTACACCAACAATGGATGAGAGTTTCTTTACACCACAATCCCGCCAATCAAGATTGTTTCCAGTTTTTTTATATGTTCTATTATCACTGGAGTGAGATGATATTCATTGTCATTTTTATTTTTTATTTCCCTGATAGTAGCTGATGAGCCCTCTCCAAGCGCCTAGTGGCCATCTGTTTGTGTTCTTCAGAGAAGTGTCTGTACATTTTCTTTCCCATATTTTGATAGGGCTATTGGATTTTTTGTTCTTGATATTTGTGAATTTGTGTATCTTGGATATTAACCCTTTACATGATGAGTGAAAATACTTACTTCCATTCTATTGGTTTTATTTTAGTTTTATCCTGTGTTTCTTTTGTCATGCAGAAACTTTTGAATTTGATGGAGTCCCATTTGTTTATTTTGTTTCTGTTGCCTTTGCCAACGGAGTCATATCATTGAAAACACCTTTTTCCCCTTTTCAAACTTTATTGAAACACCATTATTTGCAAAGCTGTTCATAATACAATCCTTTCAGATATTCAATATTCCAACACCAATCCCACCACCAGTGTTACCTTCCCTCCCCCAATGTCTCAAGTTACCTACAAATCCACTGCCTTCCCCCTTAGAGGGCACACAATAGTTTATTTTATATTGATTGTTACAGCATATATCTTACAGTGGTTTTGCTAAAGTCATTATCTGAGGATATGATGAACTACTTGGTGCTAGTTGAGCCTTTTCTGCCATTGCTTTTGCTCACTGAGCTTAGTGGGTTTATGCATGGCTTTCCTCTCTAATTTTCTGTGGTCCTATTGGGCTGTTAGTACTAGAGACTTAGACTACCAGGATAGGTTCCATTGAGGCTTTTCTCCAAGATCCATCAGGGGTCAGGCTATTTAAATTTGAAGAGAAGTGTGTGTGGGAGGTGGAGCTCTGGGCACTCCAACAGGTCAAGGACTTGGCCTGTCATATCCTGACAAAGTGATCTGGGTCCAGAGATCTGGTCTAACAGGTTTGGCTCGATGGCAGCTTCTCCCAAAAAACACTTTTGTGGTCCAAATCTTGGAGCACTCTGAAAATATTTTCCTCAGTGGATTCTATGGATTCTGGCCTGATCTCAAGTAAATTCAATACCTTTTAGCTATTACCTCCTCCCATACAATTTTCATTTATTTTATCCCTAGACAACAAATAGTACACTTCCTGTAAGTAGCTGCCTTTTCAGGACACTTCATATAAATGAATCCTACAGTACAAGATCTTTTGTGACTAACTTCTTTTAATTATTATAACGTTTTCAAGTTTTACTGAGTATATTTTCATGTTATGTGTTGTAGGGTGTAGTTTCACTTTATTTCACTTTAATGGGGGAATAATATTATTTTGTATGGCTATACCACTTTTATCTATATGTTCATTGGTGACCCATTGGTGGACATTTGAGTTATTTGCATCTATTGGCTAATATTAATAATACTGTCATAAACATTTGTGTATTAGTCTTTATGTGATCATTATAGTTTCTTATCTTTTTAGTGGACTGGAGCAGGTAAGGCATTTGCCTTGCAAGCAGCCAATATGGCCAACCCGAGTGCGATTCCTCCACCCCTCTCGGAGAGCCTGGCAAGCTTCCGAGAGTATCTCACTCGCACGGCAAAGCCTGGCAACTTCCTGTGAAGTATTCAATATGCCAAACACAGTAACAACAAGTCTCACGATGGAGATGTTACTGGGCCCACTCAAGCAAATCAATGAATAACGGGAGGACCATGACCGTGATCTTTTTAGTATATACCTAGTA